TTAATGCAATTTATCTTCTATTGTTGATTTTTCATTGATATTCTAGTTTAGTCCAATCATGACATTTGAACTTTATGAAGTAGCGGGTACTGTGCTTAAAAGTTTTCCTTCGATAACTTCTGGGTTAACTGCTTTCTAAATGTATGCAGGTGGTCAGATCTTCTTGATACTGTCAAAACTATGTTGCCTGCAAAAGCATGGAACAGCCTATCCCCTGATCTTTATGCTACCTTTTGGGGTCTGACATTATATGATTTATATGTTCCTAAAAGTCGTTATGAATCAGAAATTGCCAAGCTGCATGCTAATCTTAAATCTTTGGAAGAACTTTCGGACAATTCAAGCTCAGCAATCACCAAGAGGAAGAAGGAGAAGGAAAGGATCCAAGAATCTCTTGATCGTTTGAGTAGTGAACTCCGTAAACATGAAGAAAATGTTGCATCTGTTCGTAGAAGGCTTTCTCATGAAAAGGACAAGTGGTTGAGTTCCTGTCCTGATACCTTGAAGATCAATATGGAGTTTCTTCAGAGATGTATTTTTCCTCGCTGCACTTTCAGTATGCCAGATGCTGTCTATTGTGCCATGTTCGTGCATACTCTTCATTCGCTTGGAACACCATATTTTAATACGGTCAACCACATAGATGTTCTGATCTGTAAGACCCTACAACCAATGATTTGCTGCTGCACAGAATACGAGGCAGGAAGGCTTGGCAGGTTTCTGTATGAGACATTGAAGATTGCTTACTATTGGAAGGTAGTTAATTACTTATTTTTGGTTTGCTACTTTACTTCAGTTTTCATTTTTATTCTGTTGCTAAGTTTCAGTGGTTGTTTTATTTTTTACTTTTAATTATTGTCGGTTGATGTTTTCCTATTTTATCCTTCTGCAGCGTGATGAAGCTATTTATGAGCGTGAATGTGGAAATATGCCAGGCTTTGCTGTTTACTACAGATATCCAAACAGCCAACGAGTTACATATGGGCAATTCATTAAGGCAAGTTTACTCCTTTCCAATTGCCCTGCATTTTGTTCTAGCCTTTGTGGTGTAATCCAATCTATGCTGTCATTACTCTCAATTTGGTTTTTTGGTGACGTTTCATCTTTCTGACAATCAAACTACAACATGCTTGCCTGGACTAGGGTTCAATTTTCAGCACATTCGTTGGCATATGTGCTACTGAAATCAATGTTTCTTATAGCTCATTTCTTTATGTTATTCCTCCATTTTCTTGTTGAGGTCTAGTAGTTTGAATAATGTAGTCAGTGAATAATTTGGCCATCATCAATACATATGCTCAAACTATTGAAGAACTTTGTTATGCCAAGACCATCTGACCTAGGATTATGACATCAAAATTTAGTTGAAATATCTTTGGACACCTGTTGCCATTGTATATTGTAATTTTTAGTGATAGTTCAAAATGGTTCTTGAATTGCTACTGACCTTAGTGGCATGAAAGCTCCCTTGTAGCCGGTTTGATCTGACTTATATTCTCAGGCCTATAGCGTCTGTCCTTTTAATTTAGAAAATGGTTATTGAATTGGTGTGGGGATTGTCTAGTTGATATTTAGCATAAATATCTCATTCCTTGTTGAAATGAATTTTTGCTTCTAACTATGAACAACTTGTTTTTGCTTATAATTTGCAAGAGCCATGATGCATTTGTTGCTGCAAAGGGCTGGGATTTTTTAAACTCTTCGTATAATTTTTTTTTGTTTTCACATCTACCTGAATTGACAGCTCATAACGATTTTATTTGTGCTGCTATATATGGGGTGACCCCTTCGAAATTTGCTTTTTGGCCAATAGGTACATTGGAAATGGAGCCAGAGAATCACCAGGTTACTCATTCAGTGTCTAGAATCTAGTGAGTACATGGAGATTAGAAATGCTCTCATAATGTTGACAAAAATTTCTAGCGTTTTCCCTGTTACAAGGAAGAGTGGGATTAATCTTGAGAAACGGGTAATTTTTTTATTTTTTATTTTTTGGGTAATAATTCATAATATTATTGCAATTTTTTCTTACTGGGTCATCAATGCAGGTAGCTAAGATCAAAAGTGATGAAAGAGAAGATCTTAAGGTTTTGGCAACTGGTGTTGCTGCTGCATTAGCTGCTCGAAAGGTGTGATATTACTTTGGCTATTTGCTTAGAGTTGATAAGTTCTAACACAACTTATTTTATTATTATTTTTTAATTTTGCAGCCTTCTTGGGTTACCGATGAAGAGTTTGGAATGGGTTATCTTGAGTTGAAACCAGCACCAGCTATGACTTCTAAATCTTCCCCAGGTATTTCGGCAACTGTTCAAAGCGGCACTGGTCCCAATGTTTCTCAAATGGAATCTTCCAGTGGAAAACATTTGGACTCCGGAAATACTGTCAAGGAACAACCAAATAGAACAAAACCTTCAGAGGGTAAGTCAGAAAGAACTGAAAGCATTCCAGCCACTAGATCTGATTCTGTTCAAGTAAAACTCAAGGGTAGTTCATTGGTGAATGGACTAGATGCTCAATCATCTTTGCCTTCTGCTGGACATTCTGGAACAGCAAGAGCTGTGGAAAACCAAAAGCAAGTAGATGAGTCCACAAATAGATCATTGGATGAAAACGTGACCCGAGTGACTGAGGTATCTCTTAATTTTTAAGCTGTTCAGTTAGCCATTTTTTTTCTGTACACTGAACTTTTGTATATGATCTAATGCTATCACTTTCACCATTAGTTGTGTTTTATGATAATCCATCAGGGGAGGTTTTTTGTGATTTTTTGTGTGATGATTTGATTTTACTTTTCACAGTCAAGAACTTCAACAAAACGCTCAGTGCCTGCTGGTCCACTTTCGAAGTCCTCAAAACAAGATCCTTTGAAAGAAGACGGTAGATCTGGAAAATCCATTTCTAGAACTTCTGGTTCCTCTAACGCTGATAAGGATCTACAAAGTCATGCATCAGAGGGAAGACATACTGGAACTTCCAATTCTTCTTTGGTGAATGTTAATGGTAGTTCTGCTTCTGCTAAAGGTTCAGCTTCATCGGCAAGAATTTCGTTAGATTCTAGTGGTGGTGAATCTAGAGCAGATGTTGGAGCTGTCAAGTCTTCTGATATCAGGGCTTCTATGGTGAAGGATGATGGACATGATGTTTCTGACTTTGCAAAAGGACCCTCATCTCGTGTTGCTCATTCTCCAAGGCATGAAAACGTAGTTGTTGCTTCAAAGTCTGGTGATAAGGTTCAGAAGAGAGCTAGCTCTGCTGAGGAACCTGACAAACTAGTTAAGCGTCGGAAAGGGGATTCAGAGGCAAGAGATCTAGAGAGTGAAGCTCGATTTTCTGAAAGAGAGAGGTTGATAGATCTTCGATTGTCTGATGACAAATCAGGACCTGATGAACTAAGTGTCTACAGGGCAGGTGATAAGCAATTGGATAGGCCAAAGGACAAAGGCAATGAGAGATATGAAAGGGAACACAGGGAGAGATTGGACCGCTTGGATAAGTCCCGTGGTGATGATTTTATAGCTGACAAATCTAAGGATAGGTCATTGGAAAGATATAGTAGAGAAAGATCTATTGAAAGGATGCAAGAGAGAGGTAATGAAAGGAGTTTCAGTAAACTGCCTGAGAAGGCTAAGGATGATAGAAACAAAGACGATAGAAGTAAATTGCAGTATGGTGATGCAACTTCAGAAAAATCTCATTCAGATGATCGCTTCCACGGGCAAAGCTTGCCTCCACCACCCCCCTTACCACCAAATATGGTTCCTCAGTCTGTTAGTGCTGGCAGGCGAGATGAGGATCCTGATAGAAGGTACGGAGCTACAAGACATTCTCAGAGACTTTCTCCAAGGCATGAAGAAAAGGAACGGAGACGGTCTGAAGAAAATTACTTAGTTTCACAGGATGATGCCAAGCGTAGAAAGGAAGATGATTTCCGAGACAGGAAGCGGGACGAACGGGATGGATTGTCATTGAAGGTATAAATAAGTTATGTTTACTAATATCTACCACTCTACAAGATCTACAACTATATGTGCATTTATTGTTTAGAAGACTTCTAGTGCTCTATATGATGTATTACAGTTCAATTTCATTGGTCATGCTCTACAGTACGTGATATTTGTGTCTACTTAAGACTTAATTCCTTTTATTGTTTATGGTGAATATAAGGAAAGAATGTAATTTGATTATTACAATTTGCATGCTCCTTGATGAGTAAGGATTCTCTATCTCTAAATTGTGGGTTAAGTTGCTTCACTGATCGAAATTAATTCAAAGGACTGATAGAGGGCCCAGACTTTCTGGGATACTGTCATTGTCAAGATAGCCATTTCTGCCATCTCTATGGTCAAGCGTTAGCTAGATGGTTGCTACTTGCGTCTGCTTTGTCATCTATCTTTGAGAGGATTTCTTACTGGTCTTTCCTTTATATTTCTTTCTAATGTATTCCCTTCCTTGTTAGCAGATACTTTTCTATGCTTCTTTCTCATAGCACTCGTTCTTTGTTACAGGGCTGTTTTGGTCCAGCATGTAGTAGTTTCTCAAATATTAAGATGCCCATTTATTGTTGTTTGATAAAAACTGACAGACAACTAAATGCTGCATTTTTCTTTGTTTTCTTTTATGAAGGAAGAGAGGGAAAGGGAAAGAGAGAAAGTGAACATTCTGAAGGAAGACATGGATTTAACAGCTGCATCTAAGAGGCGTAAACTTAAGAGAGAGTATCTACCAACAGGTGAACCAGGTGAGTACTCGCCAGTGGCCCCTCCGCCTCCTCCTGCGGGCATGAGTATGTCACAGCCATATGATGGGAGAGACAGGGGAGAGCGAAAGGGACCTGTAATGCAGCATGCAAGTTACATGGATGAGCCAGGTGTCAGGATGCATGGCAAAGAGATGGCTAGCAAGATGAACCGTCGCGATTCAGAACCGTATCCTTAACTTTGATTTTATTTGCGCTGTGCTTATAGTAATATATTATTTGTATTTTCCGTCAATTCAACAATATACGGGTTGATCCTTCAAGAATTTTGTTGTTACATTGAACATGCATGTTTCATCTGCATTCTAAAGGTAAGTTCATTTACTTTTTCCTTTGCTGTTACCTCTGCATTCATTAGAGGAAGCTTGAGTAAGTGAAGTACTGAAACGGATCTTCGGTGTTATTGCTGTTGGCAGTGCATATTTAACCGAAAAAATTTCCGAGTTTAAGTCCTTTACTGTCAATATAGCTTGTACGACCGAGAATGGGATGACGAGAAGAGACAGAGACCTGATCAAAAGCGACGGCATCGGAAGTAACGGTTCAAGAAAAGAGGGGCATATGGGAATTCCTTATTGAACTCCTGGAAAGTAGTTCAATCTTGCGGCTGCTGTAATTTTGAATTGATGAAAGAGAATACACATAGGTGGTGGGTTCACATTCCTTTTATGTAAATACCCACCCTTGTTTGCTTCTAACTTGTCAGTTTTACGGCTTTTAGCAAAGCCCTCGAGGGGAAATTATGAATATTGAATTGACTACTACACTTGTATATAGCTTTGTATATTCTGGGCGTTCATTGATCCATTGTTCCTGCCAATGTTGTTACCTGAGTAGTTCATGCCATGTTAGCAACCCCTTTATTCCTTTCTGTTTGGTGAAATATCTTTTGAATCTCCATAATTCAAGGAACAATTTCCTTCATAGGCAGTACGGGATGGCCCTTTCTCCCTTGCATTTCATCTAACATTTGTGTTGACTTTGAAAATAATGATTTACCGTTCTGAGGCAATTTGCGCCCGAGGCAAATTTCAATCAGACTTTATAGAATAGTCAGAATTAATACAAATTCCAAAAAAAAAGAATACGCTTTACGTTGTGTGAAAACTAACTGTTCATATTTCAATTTTTTTTCCTTTTTTTAGTGGTTCATTTTTTGAGTAATCGGTGATACACCATTACCATTTCTGAAGGCCCAAAAAGTAAATTAAATATCAAGTATTTCAAGTTCGAAAACAAAGAATGGTTTTGGCACACGAAGTACATTTTGGGGCTAAAAACATGACGCAGGACAATGCGAGTCTACTCCATTACGGAGCCAATGGAGAACTGGAAGATTTGAAAAACGTGTGCTCAAGTTGATTTTATAACTTCGATGACAGATTTAATAATTTAATGCTCTCAAGCATCATTCATTTATACAAGTTATTTTTAACATGTTCTACTTGAATAAAGATTAAAAAAAAAAAACTTTCAAGGACGAATAAAAATATAGGTATTTACAGAGGCCCAGGAAAGAAAGAACGAAACAAGAGCCTCCAACGCCAGTCAAGGTGCCCGAGGAAGACGATGAAGAAAACCACGGATTTAGTAATATTCAAAGTCAACCCTTAATAGTCAGTCAACTGACCCTAGCCGCCTTGAGTACGACTCTTACGACCTGCCATCCACCTACGTGCTATTACTCCCATCTCTCCCTCCCTCGAAAACCAAAACCATGGCTCCTGGCTTTCTCTTCCCTTGTTTCACCCTCTCCTTCTTCTCCCTCATTCAATTCTCAATTTCCCAGAATGCTGTCAATTTTACCTCCTTCAATGCCTCAGGCTCCCCATGGCGTCCAAACGAGAATCGCTTCCTTCTCTCCCCGAATTCCATTTTCTCTGCTGGCTTCTTCCTCATTTCCCCAGATCGGTACACCTTCTCCGTTTGGTTCAAAAACGTCCCGCTTGACGCTGCTGCCGTCGTGTGGTCTGCAAACTTCGGTTCGCCGGTCAATGGCTCCGCTTCCCTCGTCATCACCTCCAAAGGCGAGCTGTTTCTCAGTAGCACCCGCTTGGGAAACGCGTCGTCTGCTTCCAATTCCACATCGCGCGTTCTCAGACTCAGTGACCAAGGCAACTTGAGTTTTGGGGATTGGAATAGCTTCGCTAACCCAACCGACACCATTCTCCCGAACCAAAATATCACGGGAATCGAGCTTCGTTCCCAAAATGGGCGCTTCACATTCGTCAATTCCACGTATCTGAATCTCTCTTCCTCCATGGCTAATTATTACAACACCCCTAGTCCGTTGGTGAGCATGGACGCCCTCGGCAAGATGACTATGCAAAGTGGCGCTTTTCTTACAAGCGATTACGGCGACAATCGGCTCCGAAAAATGGTTCTCGGAGATGATGGGAATCTCAAAATCTACAGTTTCAACTCCGAGCCAAAAACCCCGTGGGTTGAGGTTTGGTTAGCGATGTGGGAACCGTGTAAAATCAAAGGCAAATGCGGTCCTTATGCTATATGCTTGCCTTCAACTGGTATAAATGATTCGACTTCATGTGTTTGCCCGCCTGGATTCAAACAAAATCAAGGAGGGCCTCAACAAGGTTGCGCAAGGAAAACCAAACTCACCAACAACATCAAATTTCTGAAGCTCGATTATGTGAACTATACTAGCAATAGCACTAACATGGACAGTATTCCAGCTAGAAACTTCACAATTTGTGAATCTAGATGCAGAGCAAACCCCAAATGTCTTGGGTTTGGCTACAAATATGATGGATCTGGTTTTTGTTCTTTGGTGCTGAATGAACTCCTATATGGTTATTGGTCTCCGGGCACTGAGGCTTCGCTGTTTCTTAAGGTAGACGTATCCGAAACCGAAGCCTCCAATTTCACTGGGATGACACAAGTTTTGCAGACATCGTGCCCTGTTCAAATCAGCCTCCCACTACCTCCTAAAGATTCGAATTCCACAGCTCGTAACATTGCCATAATCTGCACTCTTTTCGCTGCTGAGCTCATTTCCGGGGTCGCCTTCTTCTGGTCTTTCCTCAAGAGGTACATCAAGTACAGAGACATGGCTACCACTCTCGGTCTCGAGTTCCTTCCCGCTGGTGGCCCAAAACGGTTCTCGTATGCCGAGCTCAAAACCGCCACCAAGGACTTCTCCAACCTCATCGGTAAAGGTGGCTTCGGTGAGGTTTACAAGGGAGAGCTAGCGGATCATCGCGTTGTCGCCGTCAAGTGCCTCAAGAATGTGGCCGGCGGCGACGCCGAGTTCTGGGCAGAGGTCACCATCATTGCCAGAATGCACCACCTCAACTTGGTCCGCTTGTGGGGCTTTTGCGCCGAGAAAGGTCAACGAATCTTGGTGTACGAATTCATCCCGGGCGGGTCATTGGACAAATACCTGTTCCGTCGACCCCGGGCCGGGTCCAAAAATGGGGAAGTATCTACGGATTCGGATCCAAAGCATGACCCAAAGACGGAACAAAAACCCATCCTTGACTGGAATATCCGGTATAGGATAGCCCTTGGTGTGGCAAGATCCATAGCATACTTGCACGAGGAGTGCTTGGAATGGGTTTTGCATTGCGATATCAAGCCGGAGAACATCCTACTGGGGGACGATTTCTGCCCAAAGATTTCAGATTTTGGATTAGCCAAGCTCAGAAAGAAAGAGGATATGGTAACCATGTCTAGGAGGAGAGGGACTCCGGGTTATATGGCTCCGGAATGGATAACGACGGATCCCATCACCTCCAAAGCTGACGTGTACAGCTTCGGATGGTGCTGCTGGAGCTGGTGAGTGGGGTTAGGAACTTTGAGATCCAAGGATCAGTGTTGAACAGTGAAGATTGGTATTTTCCTGGGTGGGCCTTCGATAAGATGTTCAAGGAGATGAGGCCCGAAGACATTCTGGACCGTGAGATCAAGCAGTTTTATGACAGCAGGGCCCATTTTGATATGATCAATAGGATGGTGAAGACGGCCATGTGGTGCCTTCAAGACAGGCCGGAGATGAGGCCCACCATGGGAAAAGTGGCTAAGATGCTGGAAGGCACAGTGGAGATTATTGATCCCAAGAAGCCCACTGTCTTTTTCCTTGGGGATGAATAACCCCGCCCATGTCAAGCTCTGCTTTTCCTTTTGCCTCTTGTAGAATAAAATTTAGGTGGTATGCTTCTTGCATGCACTGTCGTCAGATTCAAGTCTTATGTAAAATGTGTTCAGATGGATTGACAAATCAACCGTCTATGATTGGATAAATAGCCTGTTCTAAAATTTATTTTTTCCTGTAGTTATACGATATGGATTAAAGTTTAAATTGAACTCTGATATTATATTACTTTTTGTATGAATTGTTGCTCTTGCTATGTTTGTGTTTATTAAAGTTGTTCAGGCAGGGACCAGTTGCATACATTCACGTTCACTGGGAAAAATAATGAGGAGACTAGTTGCAAATGCTTTATAGGGACCACAAGCAGCCTCCGGGGATAAGTACGCTTTTTCTCATCTGGATGCAATTCTGCCCACAGAATTTAATAATTCCAACAAGAAACATCGAGCTTACCGTTTTTGACTTTTGAAGGATAAAACACACAATGATAAATAAAAGAATATATTCTATTCAAAGGGAAAGGCACTTTCCCGTTTTTCCTATCCTAGTTTTCCTTTGGTCTGAATGGAGGTAAAGAGAAAATCCACATTACACCAGTGAATCATACATGATCAAACATTAAAGATTCAAAAAGATAAGAAGCTGCGTGTAAGATGGGATACGCAACAACAAATAAGTAATAAAATACTGGACTGCAGGAAGATGCTGCAAGGGCAGGCTTCAGATTGAAGAGAAAGTTCTAGATATAACTATATTGCAATGATACTTTTAACAAAAGCAAATGTTCTTTGCTTTCTCTTGACGAGCAGCATCTACTCATTGAATATCATGAAGGACTTGAAGACCACCTTAGCTGGTCTTGAAGAAGAATTGCTAAGAAGTCAGCATCAGTGTGGTTTGTAGAACCCATTGTCAATTCAGGTTCTGGGCATGGGGGATAATAGTGACCAACAACAAAAGTTCCTTCAACACAAGCCAATTCTTTAAGGTGAGAAGGATTAGGGCCAAGAGCCTCTGACAATAACGCAAAGATTGTATGACCCAATTCCCTTATTTTCTTTGAATATTCAATAGCAATGCCCTGGAAGGACATGATCTTTTCATCAAGGGTAGGAAAATTAATAACACAAGAACCCATGAGAAGCGGACCTTATAAAACTACTACAAAAGCTAAGAAAGTGCAGGAATAATACCAAAATTTGTATCATCAAGCTTCAATGATATATTGACTGTTTAAACATTCACTTGATAAACTGTGTAAAATATCATGAGAACAGTTACCGGCTATGGACCAGACGATATAAAATATAAACAGTAATTTACCCTGTAATAATCATTCTAGTACCCATGAGAAACCACCCTTGTGAAAATACTGTAAAAGCTAAGAATATGCAGAGTTGATACCAAAATTTGTATCACCACAATGCCTGCATACTTCTGGCATATCTTCTGGTTTTGCTGGACTGGGAACCACGAAGAATCCAAGTGTATACCTCCGGTTAGCAGGATTATTTCTGAACAGCTTAATAATGGAATAGTAAATGACTCTCTAGTTTCTTTTTCTTCTTATCTCGTGAGTAGAATTGCTTCCTCACCTCAGAATCTTGTTCATGCAATCTACGAATTCCGTTGATCATTTCACCCAAAACATTATTCGAAATCCCATGATTAATTATAAAAAACCCCATTTCTGGCATGCACTTCCAATTTTCTCAACTACTTGAATGCGTAGACTGAATTAACTGACTTGAGCTTGTGATCCCCATGGTTGAGAAAAGAAAGTTATGGTATAGAGATTCCCGTTGTGACCATTTTCTTTGTTCCACTATAAGCCTGTGGGATATTATCACATAATAGGCTTTAAGATGAGAAGCATATTTTGGTGACCGATAACCTTTTTTGGAGCATGAGACAAATGATCAACTGTTAATTATATACTAGTATTAGTCAATAAATAAGTTATAAAATAGTGGAACTCAATGGCATGCCATGATGGCAGCATATTCATGTCGGCCAAAAAAAAAAAGGGGGCATGGTAGTTTCCTAGTCTTTTCACCTTGGTTTTCCTTTGAACTTATAGGATAATGACGTGCACTTTGTTGTCTATTAGGGCAAAAATCTTCAATAGTAGCGCCCTTATAGATTGGTGGATTTTCTTCTGATAACAGTTCCTTAATTGGACCATGCCAAACCTTCGCTGTACTTTCAGCTGGTTCATCAAGATTTATAAAGAAGCTTGCTGTGGAAATTCTTGGGCCTTGAAAAATCCCTATGAAACAAGCTGATGAACCTGTCATTTGCTATAATCGACACAATCAACAATGACATAGATAAAAATTAATATGTATAATCCTAAATCCTCAAAAATTATTTTGGAAAAGAAGGTTTCATCTCAGATAAACAAGCCGTTCCATCTCAGGAAAGAGGCTTCGTTTCTAATATCATTCATTACACTGTAGCCAATAATTGTCATCAAAAGCAAAGTAGAACAGCATTCATAACATGTTTATGTTACAAGTTAATGCAAAATATTCTAGAAACGGCACATGAATCTTGATGTAGAAATCAATCCCCAAAATAATGCCCTAGTCATAACTTCCTGAAATATCACACTTGCTGTTTTCTTGTGCTAGTGCTTAGCTATCGTAATGACTAAAATTTTTTTAACAAGTATTATATATAAGCTATAGACGGGTAAGGCTCTCTGTATCATTCATATGACCAAAAGTTGCCAAAACCAAAATATTATACTCTTCAGTCCATCTTTCAGCGAAGTACTTGCCTTTTATACTTATTATTTTTAATAGATTTGATCAGCTAGATGAGAGCCATTTCATTTGCTAGCTTGTTTGAGCCTGCGATTATCGAGAACTATTAAACTGCATGCTATTTTTTCTCAAATTTTTTTCTACTGTGAATGTTTTGCGCTGTTCAAGTGATTTGTCCAACTTTTAAACTTCAAGTGATTTGTCTCACATATATATGTAAATTTTGCATGATGACTCAGGTTAACGCCACCATCAGTGACGCAGGTGGAAGTAATTGATTTTGTTGTGCTTGAATTTCTTTGGTTGCACCTTTTTTAATAATATTGCAATCGGAAATATGAAATTCAGCGAAAATGCAGTTGAGGAAATACTTGCTATCGTTCATGAGCTTTTCTCATCTGAAGCAATTGTGCCCACAGAAGTTAATAATCGCAACAACAAAAGTTAAGCTTATCGTTTCTGACTTTCGAAGGATAAGACGCACAATGATGAATAACTAAAATATTCTATTCAAAGGGGAAAAATCACATGGAAATGTTTAGCATTCATCAGTTCATATTGGAAAGGATTTGGTATTACAATTTGTGCAGGACTTGCTGCCAGATTGGAAATGTCTGTAAATGACTGAAACCAAAGGCAGAAAGTTAACTATTATACAGCATAAATCACACTGCATCAGGATCAATTCGATATTATTCTTCATAACTGCTTCATAACCTGAAGGGCTGCAAGGAAGAGTCCCCGTCAAGGCCCTTTGAGAAATAATATGTCAAAAAGTCTTTTACACTTGTGTCCTTATATAATGGTTTGTTTTCTTCCGATAGCAATTCCTTAATTGGACCATAAACCCTTGAGGTACCTTCATCTTTGTATTCATAATTTATGAAGAAGCTTGCTATGGAAATCCTTGGGCCTGTTTGGCTTGCCAACACCCTATGAAAAACACTGATGAATCGGTCGTTTGTAATAAGCTGCACCATCAACAATGATCCTTATCAGTGAAATCCTTCCAAATTGTTCTAGTGAACATGTCGATGATTTGAGTTGCTTATATTTAAGATTCATTCGGTATGTTGTCATCCTTATTTCAATATTTTCTTTGTCAGGAGACATTGACATTTGGAGCAACAGCAGAAAAATTCTAGCATAATATATCACCAGTTTAAATACTGCATCACATCGGTGAATTTTCATCTGTACTAATGAAATATATGAGGTTCAAAGCTTTGAGTGATAAATGCCAGAACAGAACATAAAGAGCATACATGCTGATATGCACAAGCATGGTTTCTTTCATATTCTGCATCATTATGCAGATTCTGGTTAAAACATGGCAACACTGACCTGGAGAAGATCTCCAATGTTAATAACAAGAGCTCCATGCACAGGAGGAACATCGACCCATTTATTATCATGAAGGACTTGAAGACCGCCTAGCTCGTCTTGAAGAAGTATGGTCATGAAGTCAGCATCCGTGTGCTTGGATGTGCCCATAGTCAGTTCAGGCTCTGGGCATGGTGGATAGTAGTGGCCAAGAAGAAAAGTTCCTTCAACACAAGCCAATTCATTGAGGTAAGAAGGATTAAGGCCAAGAGCCTCTGATAATAACTCAAAGATTGTATGACCCAATTCCCTTATTTTCTTCGAATATTCAATCGCAATGTCCCTGGAAGCAAAGGGTCATTTCATCAAGGATAGGAGAAGGATCAAAAGGGTCAAAACACAAGTGGCTAGCCTTGATGTATTGTAAATATAAAACGAACATGATTGTTAAGAACACTGCAATGGCTTCTAAAGAATAGTTCAAAGCATCATAGACTTTCAGTGATAAATTGATTGTTTAAACATTCGCTTGATTAACTCTGTTAAATATCATAAGAACAGTTACTGATTATGGACCAGACAATATAAAATATAAACAGTAATTTACCCTATAATAATCATTCTAGTACCCATCAGAAACTACCCTTATAAAAGTACTGTAAAGCTAAGAACATGCAGAACTGATACCAAAATTTGTATCAACACATTACCTGCACACTTCTGGTATATCTTCTGGTTTTGTTGGATGGGGAGCCACAAGGAATCCAAGCGTATCCCTCCAGTTAGCAGGATTATTTGTGAACAGGTTAACATTGGAATAGTAATTAAATTTCTTCTTCTTTTCTCGTGAGTAAAACTGCTTCCTCACCTCAGAATCTTGTTCATGAAACCTACGAATTCCGTTGATCATCTCATCCAAAACATTATTTGGAATCCCATGATTAATTACCTGGAAAAAACCCCACTCCTGGCATGCACTTCCGATTTTCTCAACTGCTTCAATGTGTAGATCTGAATCGCTGTGTATGCCTGCCAGGTCAACGATGGGGATAGCGAAGTTGGAGTTGTTTTCTGATCTCTCTGTGAGATTCAACTCCCCAGAATAAAACATGCGTGGGATCTTCGTGACTCCGGATTCTAAAAGACCTTTAACTCCAGTTTTTGATTCATCAAATGCTTTAACTTCAGCTTCCCTGTCATAATTAGAATCAGCCGAAGCTGCATCTAACTCACTTGAGTTTTTGATCACCATGCTTAGAAAACGAAAGTAATGGAGAAACCAGTTGTGCCTACTTTCTTTGTTCCACAATGAGCCTATGGGATATAACAGGTTTTTGTCACTGTTAAATGAATGTATATAAATAGTAAAATAGTGGAACTCAATTGCTTGGAAGTTTCCCGTTCCTTTGAATTTCAAGACAAAGGCGTTCACTTCACTCTCTGATTAAGACATAAAACAAATTTAGTCTTGTCAAACTTTTTAAGGTTCAAGCAGATAAGAAGTTCCGCATTGTTTCATCCACTTTGAATGTGGAAAAATGGCATAATCAACAAATATATATTGACCTGTTGCACTGCTTGAAATGGTAAATTTTTTTTTTCTTTAACTTTCTTATTAACTTGAGATTCAGACAATTATTTTTGTTTTCTGGCTAGAGAAAAAACTAAGCTCATAATGATGAAATTTCAACTACATTAAACCCAAAAAAAATAAAAAAACTGATTTCTGCCTTTTCTTTTATTGGCCTCCTTTTTCTATTGTGATTTCTCGACCTTTTCTTTTGGCTCTCCTGCATGCAGGGGTTACAACATAGACTTACGGGTACAAAGAAGAAAGTACCCAGTCATCTCGATTTTCGAAAGTTCACCTTTGTTTCGATTTTTAAAACTTCGTCCTTCGCTTGAGTTTAAACTTCAAGTGATTTGTCTCACATATATATGTAAATTCTCCATGATGGCTCAGGTTAACGCCACTATCAGTGACGTAGATGGAAGTAATTGATTTTATTGTGCTTGAATTTCTTTGGTTGCACCTTTTTTTAAAAAAAAATATTTCATTCGAAAATATGAAATTCAGCGAAAATGCAGTTGAGGAAATACTTCCATCGTTTATGACGTTTTCCTCATCTGAAGCAATTGTGCCCACAAAAGTTGACAATTGCAACAAGAAAAGTTGAGCTTATCGTTTCTGACTTTTAAAGTATAAGACACACAATGACGAATAAAATTAAAATATTCTATTCAAAGGGAAGAATCATAAGGAAATGTTTAGCACTCATAAGCACATATTGGAAAGGATGCGGTATTACAATTTGTGCAGGACTTGCTCGAGATTGGAAATGTCTGTAAATGACTGAAACAAAAGGCAGAAAATTATTATATAGCATACATCACACTGCATCAGGGTCATTTCAACATTATTCTTCATAACTACTTCATAACCTGAAGGCCTGCAAGGAAGAGTCCCCATCGATGGCCTTTGAGAAATAATGTGTCGAAAATTCTTTTACACTTGTGTCCTTATATAATGGTTTGTTTTCTTCCGATAGCAATTCCTTAATTGGACCATAAACCCTTGAGGTACCTTCAGCTTTGTCGTCATAATTTATAAAGAAGCTTGCTATGGAAATCCTTGGGTCTGTTTGGCTTGCCAACACCCTATGAAAAACACTGATGAATTTGTCGTTTGTAATAAGCTGCAAGATCAACAATGATCCTTATCAGTGAAATCCTTCAAATTGTTCTGGTGAACATTTCGATGATTTGAGTTTCTTATGTTTAAGATTCATTCGCTATGCTGTCATCATTATTTTAGTATTTTCTTTGTCAGGAGACATTGACATTTGGTACAACAGCAAAAAAAATTTAGCATAATATGTCACCAGTTTAAATGCTGCATCACATCGCTGGATTTTCGTCTATACTAATGAAATATATGAACTTCAAGGCTTTGAGTGAAAAAGGCCAGAACGTAGAGAGCATGCATCCTCATATGCACAAGCATGGTTTCTTTCATTTTCTGCATAATTATGCAGATTCTGGTTAAAACATGGCAATACTGACCTGTAGAAGATCTCCAATGTTAATAACAAGAGCTCCATGCACAGGAGGAACATCGACCCATTGATTATCATGAAGGACTTGAAGACCGCCTAGCTCGTCCTGAAGAAGTATTGTCATGAAGGCAGCATCGGTGTGCTTGGATGCGCCCATAGTCAATTCAGGTTCTGGGCATGGTGGATAGTAGTGACCAACAACAGAAGTTCCTTCAGCGCAAGCCAATTCATTGAGGTAAGAAGGATTAAGGCCAAGAGCCTCTGATAATAACTCAAAGATTGTATGACCCATTTCCCTTATTTTCTTTGAATATTCAACAGCAATGTCCCTGGAAGAACATGATCATTTCATCAAGGCTCGGAAAAGGATCAACAAGGGTCAAAATACAAGTGGCCAACCTTGATGTATTGTAAGCATATAACGAACATGATTGTTAAGAACACTGCAATGACTTCTAAAGAATAGTTCAAAGCATTATAGACTTTCAATGATAAATTGACTGTCTAAACATTCACTTGATTAACTCTGTTAAATATAATGAGAACAGTTACTGATTATGGACCAGAAAATATAAAATATAAACAGTAATTTACCCCATAATAATCATGCTGGTACCCATGAGAAACCACCCTTATAAAAATACTGTAAAAGCTAAGAATATGCAGGACTGATACCAAAATTTGTATCACCACATTACCTGCATACTTCTGGTATATCTTCTGGTTTTGTTGGATGGGGAGCCACAAGGAATCCAATTGTATCCCTCCAGTTAGCAGTATTATTTTTGAACAGGTTAAGATTGGAATAGTAATTAACTTTCTTCTTCTTATCTCGTGAGTAAAATTGCTTCCTCACCTCAGAATCTTGTTCATGAAACCTACGAATTCCGTTGATCATCTCATCCAAAACGTTATTTGGAATCCCATGATTAATTACCTGGAAAAAACCCCACTCCTGGCATGCACTTCCGATTTTCTCAACTGCTTCAATGTGTAGATCTGAATTGCTGTGTATGCCTGCCAGGTCAACGATGGGGATAGTGAAGTTGGAGTTGTTTTCTGATCTCTTTGTGAGATTCAACTCCCCAGAATAAAACATTCGTGGGATCTTCGTGACACCGGATTCTAAAAGACCTTTAACTCCAGTTTTTGATTCATCAAATGCTTTAACTTCAGCTTCCCTGTCATAATTAGAATCAGCCGAAGCTGCGTCTAACTCACTTGAGTTTTTGATCACCATGCTTAGAAAACGAAAGTAATGGAGAAACCAGTTGTGACTACTTTCATTGTTCCACAATGAGCCTACGGGATATAACAGGTTTTTGTCACGTCGATTTAATTGTACTCAGATTTTAATAGCTCAAACAAGATAAGAAGCATATTTTGTTGGCTGGGTCTGATTTTTTGATGATGAGACAAATTGTCACATGTTAAACGAATGTATATAAATAATAAAATAGTGGAACTCAATTGCTTGGAAGTTTCCCATTCTTTTCACCTTGGTTTTCCTTTGAATTTCAAGACAAAGACGTTCGCTTCATGCTCTGATTAAGACATAAAACAAACTTTGTCTTGTCTTGTCAAACTTTTATTAAAGTTCAAGCAGATAAAGTTTCGCATTGTTTCATTCACTCTGAAAAAATGGCAATCTATTTTGAAAAATGGGATAATCAACAAATATATATTGACCTGTTGAACTGCTTGAAATGATAAATTTCTTTCCTTTAACTTTCTTATTAATTTGAGATTCAGACATTTATTTTTGTTTTCTGGCAAGAGAAAAAACTAAGCTCATAATGATGAAATTTCAATTACATTAAACAAAAAAACTAATTTCTATCTTTTCTTTTAGTAGCCTCCTTTTTCTATTGTGATTTCTTGACTTTTTTTTTTCTTCTTCTGCCCTCCTGCATGCAGAGGCTACAATAGGGGTATTCATAAGACAGGACGAGACAGAGACAACCCTGTCCCAGTACCGTCCCGATAATTGAGATGGGATGGGACGACTTTCCCGTCCCGTCCCAATTGTGAGGGGACATAACTGGGATGGGACAGGGACGTCCCATCTCTCTTTTTTTAATTTAAAAATTAACAATACGGGAAATATAAAAAGTTATAATAAAAACTATGTGAGAAAAATATATAAAAATGATGAAACAATGACAAAGAAAAATATTTTTTGTAATCATGAGAGACAAAAAATAAATAAACCTAAAATATTCACTACAAAAAATATCATGTAATTCATACAAAAACAACTTATAAACAATTAAAAAATAACAATTGATAAATATCATTACCAAAATACTATTACAATGATAAATAAAATAAATATATAACAACTAAAAATAAAAATAATATATTGAGACGGGATTGGGACGGGACACTCCTGTCCCGCATCCCGTCCCGTCCCGAAATAATTTTGTTTCGTCCCGCTTTCATTCCATTTCAAAAGTTTTCAAGACAAAATTGTCCCGTCCCAAAATGACTGAAACAGGGACGGGACACTGGGACGAGACACAGTTGAACACCCCTAGGTTACAAGATAAACTTACAGGTACAAAGAAGAAAGTATCCAGTCATTTCGATTTTCAAAAGTTCACCTTTGTTACTATTATCAAAACTTCGTCCTTCGCTTGAGTTTAGACTATCCTTCAAAATAGAAATAATTAGTGGGGTGTTACTGGTGCTAAAAGGCTATTGGTTAAGAAAAGTTTGATCAGCATGGAAAATTTATTGTGCTGGATTTATATATTGCTGGAGATGTTGATTATAACCTTGGACAAAATATTAGAGATATCAGATATGAATTAAACCAATCATGAGCCGAGACTTCTATCAAGGAAGTGACCTTTAATATGATACTCAAGTCTCTGAAGTGATCAAAATTTTAATCCTTACCGACGCCAATTAGTTGAAGCTTTGGACACAACTGCCAACTCATAATTGATAACTTCTGCTTTGTACACGTAGGAAGGAATACATTTCAGAAATATGATATACAAATATACAATATGATCTAAAGTAGGAATCCATGAGAATCAAAAGTGCACCGATAGATCCCTCTTTTTTTTTTCCATACTTGCTTCATAATTTGAAGGCTTTTAAAGAAGAGTTTCCATCAAGGCCCCTTGAGATATTATTTGCCCAAAAATCTTTAATAGTGGTGCCCTTGTAGATTGGTGGGTTTTCTTCCGATAATAATTCCTTAATTGGACCATAAACCTTTGCTGTATTTTCAGCAATGTCATCAAGATTTATAAAGAAGCTTGCTATGGAAATTCTTGGGCCTATAGGCCTTGCTAAGACCCTATGAAACACGCTGATGAACCTGTCATTTGTTATCAGCTGCACAATGAACAAGGAAACGGATGCATATTAATATGTAAAATTCTCGCAAACTGTTTGGGTGAAGAAGCGTGCCAGTGATCCTACTGTTGGGGAAATTAAGCTGTTTCATCCCAGAAAAAAGGTTTGATTTCTAATATCATTCATTACACTCTAACCAAAAACTGTCGTTCTCTAAAATCATGTATTTACATCAAAGGAAGGAAGAACATCATTTCTAGCATGTTTATGCTAGAGTTAATGCAAAATATTCCAATTATGGTGCATGAATCTTGATGTAGAAATCAATCACCAAAAGAAGGCAGCAGTGATAACTTTTAAAATATAGCACTTCTATTTTCTTGTGTTTAGTTACAGTAATGACTATATGCAAGCCATAGATAGACAAGGCTCTTTGTTCATTCATACGACCAGAAGTGCCAAAAACCAAAATATTTACACTCTTGATCTTAGCACTTGACTTTTATACTTCCTATTTTATAGATTTGAGCGACTGAGGGCCACTTGATTTGCTAACTTGTTTGAGTTTACCATCATCCATACTTGCGTATTCTGATATTGTTATTAGCTGATATATGTTTTCTTGGGATTCCATTGATTCCAACGCAGATTGTTTTGCTACAGTTCAACGAATACATGAACGCAAGTGATAGTTTTGTAGGCAGTTATGACTATGAAGGATAAGATACTAAGGAAATAGGATATCAACATTAACAATTACCTGTAGAAGATCTCCAATGTTAACAACAAGAGCTCCATGCACAGGAGGAACATCAACCCACTGATTCTCATGAAGAACTTGAAGACCACCAATCTGATCTTGCAAAAGGATTGTCATGAAATCAGAATCAGTGTGCTTGGTAACTCCCATAGTTGACTCAGGTTCTGGGCACTGTGGGAAGTAGTGACAGAGAAGAAAAAGCCCTTCCCCACAAGCCAGTTCCTTAAGGTAAGAAGGATTGAGGCCCAGAGCCTCCGACATTAACTCAAAGATTGTATTACCCAATTCCCTTATTTTCTTTGAATATTCAATTACAATCTCCCTGCAAGAAGCTAACAATTTCATCATGCATTGGACAAGGATCAGATTGAACAAATGCAATGAAATTGCAGAGTTGATTCCAAAACTTGCAATAATCACTTTACCTACACACTGCTGGTATATCATCTGCTTTCGCTGCATCAGGAGCTACAAAGAGTGTATCCCTCCAGTTAGCAGGTCTGTCTTTGTGCATGTGAACATTGGAATAGTACCTAACTTTCTTGTTCAAGTCTCTTGTGTAAAACTGCTTTCTTATCTTAGAGTCTTGTTCATGAAACCTTCGAATTCCATCAATCACCTCATCAAAAACATCATTTGGAATCCCATGATTAATCACCTGGAAAAATCCCCAATTCTGGCACGCACTTCCAATTTTCGCAACAGCTTCAGTGTGTAGAGATGAATCGTTGTGTATGCCCGCGAGGTCAACGATGGGGATTGTAAGGTTTGAGTAATTTTCTGAGCTCTCTGTGTGGTTCAACTCCTCAGAATGGAACATACGTGGGATCTTTGTCAGCCCAGAATCTACTAGACCTTTTACTCCAGCTCTTGTATCCTCAAACGCTTGAAATTCTGCATTCCTATCATAAGTGGATTCACTTGAGCCTGTGTTCGCCATACTGAGAAACTAAGCACTTTCTGTTCAATTGAAGCGAGAAGAGAGAAGACCAAAAAGTCAAATCATAGCCCACAATCAAGCAGTGAGGATACGAGTTTTTGTTTTGCTTTGCTTCTGTTTTTTGTTTTGTACTTCTTTCTTTTCTGGGCTAATATCATGAAAGAAACTTTCAAAGAAAAAATAATTATGGACCTTTTTTATTCCACATGCAGACGAAAAGTGACAGGTCATTCAGTGTTGATGAGGACCTGCCGCCGAGCTTGACAGGTTATTGTATCTAGGCCAGTATGCCTTTGGACATTTTTCAATTCCATGCAACTTTTGAATGTGGGATTATTAATTGATGGTTTTTTTTAATTAAAATTCAAAAATCTTGTTAAATTTTTATAGGAGGATTCAACAAAAAATTTAATTATAAAAAAGTCTTTATAACAAGTTATCAGCTTGAACTTATTATTTTTCTCTATTCTGAAACTTGTCATTGTTTATTATTTATTTATCAATAGATTTTAAAGTGATTAATTTTTTTTATAACCTCATTGTAATTCTCCCACTTTTTAAATTTTATTAATAATTCTCTATTACTTTAGTAACAAAATATAAAAAAAATCAAACCTCAAAATTAGGCCTCAGGATTTTTTTTTATGAATCACTAATTGAATTATAAGCAGTGGGGTGTTCAAATCATCGTTTCAAATCTAGTCAAAAAAATCATTGTTTCAAATTATCTAGATAACAAAATTATGATTTGAACGATAAATTATACGATTTATTCCACTTTTTTACTTGAAAATTAAGGGAAAAATAAAAATGGGTAAGGGCTCAGCTTTCTTTGTTTTGTTTTTGCTAGACACACATCGGGCATTAAATACAGTACTCTTACACGCTCAACTCTCTGCGTTTCACAAAATTTAACTTCCAGGCTTGGTATGGTGCTCAAGCAGTTGGGCTTAATCAAGCCCAATTTCTGAAAATGGTCCAAATACATAAGAGGAAGCTAATTTGGAGATCCTTATAATTTTCATCGATTTTGAATCAAATCAGGTTTTTTTTTAAAAATTGAGTCCTTTAATTTTCTCCCATTAGATTTGTTAGTCCCTGCTGTTAAATAAAACAAACACAGTTAAAATTTCTATTAATAGGCACAGCTTTGAAACATCTTCTCGATTTGAAAAATCATGTCCGTCTATCTCTTCCATCATATCCCAGGCTTTGAAACCAAGCTCCCCCCTTCATCTTTTGTACAATATATATTTTTTATGTTAACAAATGGGGCTTTTTATGGTGTCTCCTTGGATCGCCACAAATGGAGCAAGCACAATGGATAGAGATTTCCCTATTAAAGTGAAGCTTGGAAATGGAGGAAGAATGACTTGACTTGAACCTTTGCATTTTGTCAAATCTTTGGTTGAGACCAAACTTAGAGGTTGATGGTACATCTAGGAATGCAATGCTTTAGAGGCATTTAATTTTAACAGCAATCATCACAATTCCAGTTGCTGACCTGTGAAAAATTTTACTTTGTATAGTTGTCGAATGGCTGAAGAGGTGGGAAGGAACGGCGATGAGGTTAGGAAAGGAGAAAATGTTGAGGAACGAGGGGGGAAGCGTGATCTCAGAGCTTGGATCATGACAGAAGAGAAGGACGGGCAAGGTGTTTCAAATGTCCAGCTCTGCTTACTAACAGAGACTGTAACAGTCTTTGTTTTAATCTAACGGTAGGGACTAACAGATCTAACAACAGAAAGTTAAAAGACTCAATAAAAAAAACTTGGGAACTTGATTCAAAATTGATGAAAATTATAAGGACCTTTGAATTAGTTTTCCCAATACATAAATACAAATTTTGTTAACAAGGGTTGTTTAGCCTGATTTTGTTAACAAAAATATGAATTTTGACCACATAAAAACTAAAAATTAACAAAGATGATTAAACCTATGAATTATAGTAGTACTTAAAAATATAACAAAAATTATAAATTCGGTTAACGCTCTGCTTAACAGGCTAGCCCTTTTTTTTTTTTTTTAAAGGTATTGGCTCAAATGACCCGATTAAGCTCATATCCTCATTTTCCTCAGAGCCAGCTTTAGAATTAAGCGGGCCCTAACTAACTCGGCCCATCTAATCGGGTCCAAATTATTGGTTTTAGCCCAGTCCTTACTCAGTCTGGCTGCAGCCCATAAAACTTCTCTCTCTTTATCTTGCAGTTTTGTATCTTGGCCAATGCCGTCGCCCGTAATACCCCACCTCCAAGGTCTTTCCAGCTTCACGGGATGTATGAAGAGCTATCCAAAACGCATAAAGCGGGTCGGGTACACCCCACCGTCCGCATTGGCCGAAGTGCGAAGTGCATGGTCTTCACTTTTGCGCTCAACACGCTAGGGTTTTAGAAGCCAAGCCGGGGTTTTACACATCTTCCTCTTTCTCTCGGTCTTAGAGATCTGAGAGTCAACTATCTCCTCTTCCACTTCCTGCTAATACTTGTTCGATCTTGCTTGCAATGGCGACCATTGCTCCCCCAGTTCCTGGTTCAGCAGCTGACGCTAGTGCACAGAAGAAGGTGGAGGAGAAAGTTGATTACCTGAATCTTCCCTGTCCGATTCCCTATGAAGAGGTCCACCGTGAAGCTCTCAGTCAGTCTCTTTCTTTTTACTTTTTGTTATTTCTGATAGTAAGCTTGGCATTGCTCAGTTCTTTTTCGGATCACTGAGAATGGGAGAACCATGCTGATTGGCCATATCAATTTTTTTCCGAGTTATCCGTATTACTGCTTTTGGTAACGTCCATGATGACGGAAATACTGAAGCTCAGACTTATTTGTATTGATCATTCCAATTGCATTTCTGTGCAAGTAGCAAGAACTGTATGTTGAAATAAAATGAGGGGTGTGCTGAAGCTCGATTTATTTATTTATTTGCTATATTTTTGGATGTAACACTTGAATATATGTGTGCTCGTGAGCAGTGTCTTTAAAACCAGAGCTCTTTGAGGGGATGCGCTTTGATTTCACCAAGGGACTTAATCAGAAGTTTTCTCTTAGTCATAGGTAATGCTAGTATGAAGTTTCATGATATTAATTATTGCGGCTGTCAAGTTTTGTTGAGTTTGAGTATAGTCTTTTTTCTGCTATTTCAGTCTGTTCATGGGGCCTACCGAGGTTCCTTCTCCATCATCAGAGACCCTTAAAATCCCTACTTCTCACTATGAGTTTGGTGCGAACTTTATTGATCCTCAGGTAAGCTGCATTCTACACCCTTTACTTTAGTGGTGGTATTCTTTAAATGACCCCCAGCGGATGATTTTCTACAGTTGATGCTTTTTGGGAGAATAATGACTGATGGGAGGCTAAATGCAAGAGTCAAGTGTGATTTAACAGAAAAACTCACCTTAAAGGCCAATGCTCAGGTATGCTTGTTCAGTCACACGATGTTCTATGGGCTTAAAAATGTTTGAAAGTTTGACGTCCTCAGTTTTGTACTGGCACCCGCACTGGTTGCATAATTGTATTATATCTTTTCAACTCCTCTACAATTATTAGAGGTTGTTACTATTTTGATGGGCTGATTTTGAGTTTAAGGTTTTAATTGAAAATTATTGACACCATAAATAAAGTTTGGGGCCGTAATTAACTGGGATATTTGCACACAAAGATTTTGGCTACCAACAACCTCAGTTGCTTCCCCCTTCTCAAGCTTTTTTGCTTTATGTTTTTCTTTCTACTTCGGCATTACCTGTTATTCCTCATGTGTTTGGACAGCTTACAAATGAACCACATATGTCTCATGGGATGGCCAACTTTGATTATAAGGTGAGCCACTATTGCTTATTACTTGTTTATTATGGTCCCGCTTATGTCTAATGAAACATTTCCTCTTTTAGTTATTCTTTTTTAACGTCCAAGCATGTCTGAGTTTTTTCCATGGGGAAATGAACAAACCTTTATATTTTTACAGGGAACAGACTATAGGACACAGCTTCAATTTGGGAATGGAGCCTTATTTGGAGCAAGTTATATTCAGGTAGAAGATCTGCTTGTGTTGTGTATAAATTTAGTCCTTTTGTTTTTTCCATGTTTGAGTAGAGAAGGCTTTGCTTAAAACAATAAATAACATAGGATGCATGCAAAATTGCAAATAAAGAATATGAAGAATTTTATAAACTTGGGTTCTTTTCCTTGAGTCTGTTAAAACAATGATAACAATGACTGATTATTTTAAAATGTTCCATTTTGTATTTAGAAGGATACTAATTGAATTGTGCAAGGGTTCAATGTAGGAAGTGATGCTATGTAAACATGTGAGCTTCTGAGATAAGGATGATGCTCCTATAAGTCTAATGGGGTGCCCAATTTCTGGAAATAATAAATGCAACATTTTGGTTCGTTTTGATAGAAAAATACTATTTACGTAGTTAGAATATGGAATTACTGTCAATAACCTCGTTTATCACAAACTGTTTAGCCCAACCTGCTGCATGATTCGGGAGAATCAGTTGTTTTATGTCATCGGGATGTTTACTGAAAGCGTTGACTGTCTTCCAGAGTGTGACACCTTATTTATCATTGGGTGGAGAAGTATTTTGGTCTGGTCAACATCGGAAGTCTGGCATTGGTTATGCTGCTCGGTACAACACTGATAAAATGGTATGATTGCTGAGGGGCAGCCCTACCTTATATTATTTGCAGTTTCCTCTTACTTCATTTGCATATCTTCTTATATTTACATTTCTTTATTCTCTCACTTATGTATGACTTATTTTCTTGCTCTTTTGGTTGTAACTAGTTTGGCTTTGAATTGATTGAACTTGTCCCACGGGCGCCATTTATCTATCTTCTAGGATATGTCTCTATTAATATTTTGCAAGTGTTTTTGGCGTTCAGCTGACACATTAATAAATCCAATGACTTGTTTTCGCTTAAGACATTGGAACTGTCCATTGAACGAATTGACTTGTTTTCCTAGAAAACAGTATGAATGATTTAACTTGCTTATGTACATGCAGGTTGCTACAGGGCAAGTAGCTAGCACTGGAATGGTTCTTCTAAGCTATGTTCAGAAGGTTTCTGAGAAGGTGAGCAAATCAAAATGCAGGAGAGCATTATTGTCTTCAACTCAGTGTTTCTTATACAAAATATATTTTTCAGGTGTCTCTAGCATCAGAGTTCATGTATAATTACATGTCAAGAGATGTCACAGCTAGCTTTGGTTATGATTACATTCTTAGACAGGTACCTTTGCTTTTCTGGCATTTTCACTCATGTAACCAATTAATATAACATGGATGCTGCAATTTCAAACAGTTGTGATAATTATTAGTATGTTAGTTAAATTGTACAGCTTTGCTTTTCCTATGATATTGGCAGGAACAGAGTAAAATTTTTAATTTATTGAGGCAGACTCCTCATCTAGATGTTTTCTCGATATAACTCCTTTACAGAACTCTGAAAGCTTGGTGTTAGTTTGATTGATTATTTCCATGATAAAGTGGGGAGGAAGAGATTTTGAACTGAATTTCAAGGATGCATTTGCTGTAGGAACATAACGGCCTAAGTGTTTGTGTGCAAAAAAGACATTCCAATTAAAATGATTACTTGGTCTCTCAAAATCAGAGGGGATTGTACTGCCAAGGGTGTTATTAAGGGGATAATAACTGCTTTAAAGGAAGTATGCTATCTGGTTAGCCATTGGTTAATCTGTTGGTGTCAATCTCCTATCTTACCTCAGTTTTTCTAGATTATGCGTCTTAGTTCATTTATTGATGTTATCTATGGTTAATGAACAAGGATCAACTGCTGGGTTTTAGTAAGGTCCATTATTGGGTAAAATTACTCCCTGTGGTCCCCCTCTTTTTTACCCGTTGCTCCCTGTAGAGAAAACGTAGAAGAAAGAAACACATAATTTATGGTATGTGGCTGTGGAAGTGCATGAGATGATACACCTGAACCTCAACCTGTTTCTATACGATATTGTGATGTGAAATAATAAAATGTTACAATTATGTGGATCACAGTGTGGTCAAAGGCTGTTTCCTCATAATTTATGGTTTTGGAATGTTCATTTGAGATTTCAATAGTTCTGGTAACGATTGCAATTGATTGATTTTTGGCTTCTGAGTTCATTAGTTGACTGAAAAAGTCTGTTGGATGTTTCTTTGGGATTGGCTATGATTATAAATTTTCCATTCTTAAAGCACTCCCTCTGGTCCTATTTATAAGCTTTAAATTTGAGAATGAGTGTGGTCTATTTTATAAGCTTTAATTTAGATTTGTGTTAATATTTAATGTGTTATTTTCAATTTTTCCCTTAATTTACTTTTTCTCCTTTACCAGCATTGCTCTTATCACATTTTTCCACATATTCTTTTTCATCCTTTTTTCTCATTTATTATAGGGATATATTTGGGAACAAAAACATATTTCTAACCTATTTATTATTTTTGACTAATTTTAACTAATTGTTCGTTATCCACGAATTAGTTATTTGAAGCTTATAATAAGGACCGAATGGAGTAGTATGAAGTTGACTAGTATTCAATTTTTCTTGTGGTTGGTATAGTGCCGCCTGAGGGGAAAGATTGATTCCAATGGCACTGCCTCTGCATATCTCGAGGAACGGTTGAATATGGGTCTCAACTTCATTCTTTCAGCCGAGGTAAGACACCATTGCTCCTTTCTGCTTTGAGTCTATGTGAAATGGGTAAAATCCTAGGTTTGGTGGGGGCTATCCAAATAAGTTTTAAGTTGTTGATCTTATATTCCTTTGGACCATTTCTTGCTTAGTTTCTGCCTTTTTCCTTGACATATTTTCATTTATATGCAGCTTGATCACCGGAAAAAAGACTACAAATTTGGGTTTGGTTTGACTGTTGGAGAATAGATTAGGAGGACTGGAAGATTTTTTTATCCCTCATTGCTGGTGCCAGCGTAGCGGGCTTTCTTGCTTCTTTTGATCTGATTTTTTTCTCTCGCTTTTTTGAAATTAGAGAAAGGAAACTGAATGCGGAAAACATCATATATGTGATCCCCAACTTGCTGCAGAAAATTGAGTAGTCATATATCTGTTTGGAACAGGGGCCGAAGACGAGTTTCTATTTGGATCCCGTCTAGTTCCCCTCTTAGGGCCTGTAGAGCGATCAGAAATTCAAAATATTAATAATGCATTTCGTGATGAGATTCATGGCTCCCGTTTTATGTGATGAGATTCATTTTGGTTATTGCCTTTGCCTCTAGTGGTGTGGTTATATCCCACCTTTACATTCCTCAGCTTTCCAAGGTGGCAGTGAGACCCCTGCTCCCAGGATGTCATGGGTCCAATCACATCGCATGTACTGATTGGTTAAAATGGTACTGATATTTGTTCCGCTTTTACATTTGGTAAATTTTATTCTCTTATTGGGGATTTTCTCCTGGCTTAACTGCTATTACTTGTAAATATGGCAGCGTTCTTTATTTTTGTTCTTGATTTTTGTGGGGAAACTTTTTTAACAAGCGCTGTTATGTTGCCAAATTGAAAGAAGTGGTTGATGATTATTGTCGATATAACAATGATGTTAAAGGGACCACAGGTGCAAGCGTTTTACGCGTTCCTTCTGGTTTCTCCAGAGAAGTAATTTTGAATTATCATCTCAAAAAAAAAAAAAAAACACCACGTCACGCATTAAAGGTGAAAGTTGGGAAAAAAAACAAAAAAAATTCAAGTCTTGTGCTTTTTTCTAATAGTCAAATGAAAATATAATAGAACTTACATTTTGTGGTTGTAGACGGTAGACTGCACGGTAATTGATAAGTGATTAATTTACAACCTCCAATAAATAATTAACTCCCCAAAAAGTTAGTTAATTATCCCCTAATTTCCTTTGCCGTTATTCCCTTCTTCCATGCTACCAGTCTTCTTTTTTCCTTCTTAGGGTTTTCTGTAAATCTAATCCAATCTTCCCTTTTATTATTTTGGGAGCACATCGCCTTGTTGTTTTGTTCCCCAAACACCTATTTTGGGCTTATGCTGACCCAACAAGGATCCGTGGGTCTCGACTCCAAATTGGAGCCTCTCAATGAACGGTCAGGATACATCTTTCGATCCTTCCATCCGCCTAGGCCGTCAGATCCCTTTTGTTCGGTCCCTCATATGCCCCAGCTTCGGCCTGTTCGGAATCAATAGCCCGTCGAGAAGGATTAACCGATTAGCCACAATTTTTGGCTACGTTAGTTTCCCATCCCTTTTCGATGCTCATGGAATTCATTGTTTCTCGTCTTCGCTTTTCAAATTTCAAATCTTCCTGAATCGTTCGAGTAGCGTTTGCTTTCAATCTCTTCAACGAGAGTCTGCTGTTAGTTTTTGTTTTATTGTTGCACATTGATGTGTTTTTTCTTCTTATCGTCTGTTAAGGGAGTAGAACTCTAAAGGAGCACTATTTGTCGTCCAGTCTAAAAGATGAAGGTATGCAAATGTCTGAGGTTCCCATCTTTGTTAATTCAGTATGATTTTTATTTGTAATGCTAGAATGTTTTCGCTTCTCCAGTTCAACATTGCGAATCCCACCACCGGGTGCCAGAAGAAGCTTGAAATTGATGATGATGCTAAACTGTGAGTGAAACGATTTTAAAGCGTTCGCTTGCCTTTTGATTTAATTCTGCTTCTCGTTCTAAGCGAAATTGGGTTGGCAAATATATTCTTAATAACTTTAACTGGTAACTGCGCCCCATTGACTTCTCAAATTGGTTTGTTTTCACTTAAATACGACATCAGGCCGTAAGGGGAAAAAAAAAGGAACCTTAAATACGACAAAGCTCAGACGAACTTCTGCGGGTGTTAAATAAAACATTGACAACTCTTCTCAGGGCCTGTTTGGTTTGAGGGGAAGGAGGGGTAGGGAAGGGGAGAGGAGGTTTCATCCTCACCTTGTTTGGTTTGATTAAAAAGGAAGGGAAGGGAGGGTATTTAATGATCTCTTGTTTGGTTCAGGGAGGGGAGGGGAGGGGAGGGATAGGAATAATCAATTTACCATTTTACCCTTACATATTAGTTTATGTTTTTTATTGACATACTACTTCCGGTTCTAATTATAAGACCCAGTTGACTTATTTGAGGAGATTAAGGAAGTAAGTTAAATTAGTTATTTGTAATAAATAAGTGTTGTCATTCCTAAAATATCCTTGCTAATTAAGTGTATTGGCTGCATTAGAAGGACTATCTTGGAAAAAAATGCATAAATATAAGAGAAAAAATAGATTGGGATCTTATAATTAGAACCAAACAAAAAGTCAAACGGGGTCTTATATTAAGGACCGGAGGTAATATTATATAAATTAATTTACAGCTTAATTTAAATCATATAATTTAATAAAAATTCCGTCTTATCATGTTAATATGTGTATTAAAAAATTGGTATAGTAATTTTTTATTCTAATTAATATAATAATATATTTAAAATAATCAAATTAACAAATTTTATATGCTCTAAGAAAAATGAAATTTTATTTTCTTTAGGCTATCTTTTTTTCCAGCTTTAAAGTATATTTAATAAATAATATATTTATAAAAAACAAATAATTTTATAATATTATAATTTTTTATTTAAATAATTTTTATAATATATTTTTAATTATAATAATGTATATATTTTTTATTGTTTTACTTAGGATAATATATTTTTTATTTGAAATAAATATTATAATAATATATTTTATTGGTAGAAGTGAAATACTAAAAAAACTATAAGGGCATAATGGTCCAAAATTTTGACTCCCCTCCAAAAACCCCCAATTTGGAGGGGAGCCAAGATGGAGGGAGGGAGGGGACATTTTAGCTTCCCTCCCCTCTAAAATTTTTAACCAAACGAGGAGAGGGGCTCATTTTCCCTCCCCTCCCCTCCAACCAAACAAACCCTCAAAGAAAAAAGAATCTCGCTCAAGTTTATTGATGTAACCTTTATTAAGTCTGACATTAATTCTTAAGATATTCTTCTTCATGGATGAGGTCCGCACATTTTCTGTGCATCTCAGTGAACTATGCAATTGTGTTTCGACTGAGCACAATGTGTGGTTGTAACTTGAGTTTTAACATTAATCCATTGCAGCCGAGCATTTTGGGACAAGAGGATATCAAGTCAGTGGAGATGCACTGGGTGAGGTAAAAGCTTCTACCTTCTGTTTAGGGGTGTTCACGGGACGGATCGGGACCGGGACAGACCCGTCCCGGTTCCGTCCCGATGAACAGTAACGGGACAGATTTTCTGTCCCGTGTCCCGGCCCGTCCCGGGGTTGTCCCGGTCTCGGTCGGGACGGGACGGATCCGGGACGGGACCGAGACGTCCCGAAATATTTTTTTTTAATTTTTTAATATTTTTTTAATATTTTTTTTAATTTTTTTAAAAAATTTTCATTTTTTTAATTATATTTTTTTGAGCTTAAATCTTATAAAAACATCTTTTTTATTTGTTTGGGCACTCTTAAACAAAAGCTCAAAATATTACATATAATAGTTATTAAAAACTCTAAACAAAAGCTTTTAACACAATAAAAACTTGCTAAAAATTCTAATCATCAATAATCTCAAATCATTAACAAATATAAAAACTCTAAATAGATATATCCATAGTTCCATACAATAGTCTCAAATCTTAAAAAAATATAAAAAAAATGATATTATATAAAAAATTAAAAAAATTAATTTTTTTTTTAAAAAAGGGACCGGGACGGGACGACCCCGTCCCGTGTCCCGTCCCGTCCCGGTCCCTTTTTTGTCCCGTCCCGGTTTGTCCCGTCCCGAAAAATTTCGGGACGGATCCGTCCCGTCCCAATAAGACCGGGACCGGAACGGGCCGACCGGGACGGGCCGGCCTTGAACACCCCTACTTCTGTTTATAGTTTGTCTTTAATGATATTGAACACAATCATTGATTATTTGTTTTATTATTGATTGTTTACAGGAGTTTAAGGGCTATGTTTTCAAAATAACTGGAGGATGTGACAAACAGGGTTTTCCAATGAAGCAGGGAGTGCTGACTCCTGGCCGTGTTCGTCTCTTGCTGCACAGAGGTTAATGTTCTATACATGTTTTCTTTCTTCTTCTTCTTCTTCTTCTTCTTCTTCTTTTTTGGTTTCCTTTTGCTGTGCAAATGATGATTTTTTTCCTCCTTCTGTTTGACTGAACAGGAACTCCTTGCTTCAGGGGCTATGGCAGAAGGAACGGAGAGAGGAGAAGGAAGTCTGTTCGGGGTTGCATTGTCAGTCCAGACCTCTCTGTTCTTAACCTGATTATTGTGAAGAAAGGTGAGAGTGATCTTCCGGGATTGACTGACATTGAGAAGCCCAGAATGAGAGGACCGAAAAGGGCTTCAAAGATTAGGAAATTGTTTAATCTCTCCAAGGAGGATGATGTCCGCAAATATGTTAACACGTACCGCAGAACCTTTACAACCAAATCTGGTGAGTCTACTGTGCTTTATTTGATGTCTGATCATGAACAAATTAAATCTTTAGTATGGATATTTTGTGATGATGTTGCTTAATATTTTACAGGCAAGAAGGTGAGCAAAGCTCCCAAAATTCAGAGGTTGGTTACTCCCTTGACTTTGCAAAGGAAGAGGGCAAGGATTGCAGACAAGAAGAAGAGAATAGCCAAGGCCAAGGCAGAGGCCGCTGAATACCAAAAGCTGCTTGCCAGCCGACTGAAGGAACAGCGTGAGCGCCGCAGTGAGAGTTTGGCCAAGAGGAGGTCTAAGCTCTCTGCGGCATCTAAGCCATCAGTTACTGCTTAATCTCTCATGTTTAGTCCTCCGTATTGGTTTTGATGGTAAATCAGTTAATGAGATGTCATGGTAGATTTAGATGGATTTTATTTTTCCACAGTTTGGTGCTGATGGGAAGTTCACTATAGATCAACTTTCTTTTGAAGTTTTAGTTAAATTTTGTTGCCGCTGGCTTCTGTAGTTGTTGGAAGCTTGACATACAACAGAGCTTATTCTTCTGGAGCACAGTACTAATGTGGAAGCACATTGTGCGTCAACCCTGTGAATTCAAGTCTCAAAACGTGGAATTGTTAGGTCTCCAAAAAAAATTTAAAAAATAAATCGCAAATATCGATTCAGATATAAAATAAGAAACTACAGATGCAAAGTAAATCTGCGCATTTTCCGTAGATTCCTCCTGAGCCATAACTTTAAGGGTTGCGTTAGGACATAGGAAATGGC